TCGATATTTAGTATCAACGGGTCAAAAAACAGAGAACCCAGGAAAAAAATTTTCTTTACCTAAAATATATGCAAAAACCCCCTCAACTTACAGACTCCTAGAAATATGAAAATTTTAGAGGAATTGTATATTGTATTCCTGATGTGACGTATTATGAGAAGATTTTTTAAAAATTAATGAATGTGTTTCAGCTTTTCTTCAAAATCCTCTTCTAAGAAGGTAAATAGGGAATGAATTATAGAAACTTGAAGAAAGTTTGCAGGTTTCCTAAAAAATCATAAAATTGTCGGTCTCTTTTCAAAATTCAAGATTATTTGGAAGTTTTCCAACGAATTCAACGCAATTATAATGTTTTCCACAGAATTGTGAGAAAATCCGCGGGTTTGTGAAAAATTGGAGAAAATTTTCGTTATCTCTCAAATATTCCAAAACTTTTGAATAAACAATGGGAAAATAAATAATATGCGATGGAAGAATTTTCCAAGTAAACCTGATATGAATATGTCACGTGACCCCGAAAACTGCACTCTGATTGGTTGGAATGAGGACAGAGAAAATAATTTAGAACATTTAAGACATTTCTCCGATTTTTTTCAACAATTTTACAACATTTTCAAGTTGAAAAAGTATTCACAAGAAATGCTGAATGTTATCGAAATGTAATGTCCAAAAATTTAACACTAGAAATTTAAGACTAGAATAAATTTTATGTAAGATCATAACTATAAGTTATATTATGATTTCATGTAATTAAGAAACAAACCCACAATTGTAAACTAAATTGAGTACATTTCATCACTTAAACTCAATTAAAAATTCCAAAGGCACTGGAATCGAGTTTAAAAGTGATGAAATGGCACACTCAGCGTGCCCCAATTATTCAATGCTAAGATTTGCGCGCGAAAGAACGATTGCAAACCGATTAATTGAAACTCCAAAAACCGAATGAACTACTTCCCCATAAAAATCAAAAAAGTGAGAAAAGTCATTCGACATTGTCCACCAATTAAAAATGGACTCGTTGGAGCCCATGTGACAAGTGACCCCAAAATTCATATAAAAATGTCAGAAAAACCAAAATTAAGTAGTCTTGAAGCAGCGACGGAGTAGTAACAATTCTGGTGGAAATAGTTCATTTAATCGGTCCGGTTTTTCAATCCTTACTTCGATTACGTGGGATAGTACTGAATTAATAGTAAGTTACGAACAATTGAAATTCTCCGGGAATAAAATTTCTTTAACCGAGAGTGGTGACTTTTCTTGCAAATAAGGAATTCGTTTATTGTGACGCGTTGTGGACAGTCTCAACCAAACTCTTAAAATCTTCAAATTCAACTGCCAAAAATTAATTAAAATATCAACGAGTAGAAGAAAGTTTTTCCGTGAAAGTATCCATAATAGCCTTTAGCGTGACTAATTGCTGGTGAGGAAATTGCGGATTTACCCAGGGATCTACGAACACATCGAATAATTTACAAATAACAGACCGAACTGGGAGTAACAAGAATTTGTAAACCTAAATTCGAATCCTTCAGATCATTCCAGAGATAGGAATTTTAGCTACATAGATTTCTGTAAAATCACGCCTATGCTTTTGTAAACCGAATAGTTATACAAAATATATTTAAATTCAAACTTAACTCCCAGTACAACTCCAAATTTCTTGATTAGAAATTCATCTCAACTCAAGCCCTATCCCTAAATCAAGCCCTTTTTCCCTTATATTTTAAGAAAAAGGTAAGAGTATAGAACTTTGCGTCGCCCAATAATTATAAAATTCAATAATTTTAGCTTTGATTTTAATGTGATAATTAAAACATGTCCAGTCGACGCTAAAATCCTTCTCCGGACATGACAGAAAGTTTGAAAAATTTCAAATCATTCATGAAAGTTTCAAGTTCATGGAATGCTCGAATAAAATTATGAGAAAGATGAAGAATGAGGAGAAGATACTCTGAATTAGCAAAAGAGCATCAGAATTGCTTATATCATTTTCACAGATAAATAATTGAATGCTTTAGTAGCAGTGTAAAGGGGAATGAAAGAGGAGGTGACGACTGAAAAATTTGGGTTATGAGAAATTTTATGATTATTGTTTTGCACTCTGAATAGAATTTCGTTCATAATTAATTTTGATACAAATAAAAAAAAAGAAAAGCCATAATGAAAGGGCATCAGCGTCGTGACTGCACCCTGATTGGTTGACGTGAGAAAGGACAAAATAATTTTGAAAAACGAGAAATTCGTCCAATTTTCTCAATAATTTTACAAAATCTTTGAGTTACGTAAAAAAAATTTATAAGATTTTAGAATCTTATGTGAAGTTTGAGAAAATTTTAGGTGATTTACCAAACTTTATAATTGATGGAATCTTTGAATGGAATTATGCAAAAGATCATGGGTAAGGAAAAGATACTCCGAATTAGTGAAAAGGCGTCACATTTGGTAACATAATTTTTCAAGAAAAATAATTGAATGTTTTTATAAGGTCGTAAAGGAGAATGAAAGTGGAAAATTCTGGGCTGTATGAAATTTCATGATAATTCACACTCTGAATATAATTCCAATTTTAATTAGAATTAAAATAAAAAATCTATCACATCCTATTCAGTGAATACAGAAATTCAGAAGTAGGCAATCACTTATTGAAATATTGAAATTGATCAGGTGATGAATCGAGATGCATTGTTTTCATTACTCTTAATATTTAGTATGATAAGAACGCTGATGGATGATTAATTTTTAAGAAAAAAATTAAAAAGAAAAGAAAAAGTGAAAAAAGCATAATGAAAGGGATTAACGTCGCGGCCGCGGCGGCGCTATTTTTTTGTATAAAACTGGACATCTAAAACAGGAAATTCAATTTTTTTATGCAATTCCACACGTTTTTCGTGTGTTGTTGAATCTATACATTATGGAATTTGAAATGCACAATGTGCAGATAAGATTAGTTATTCCATAATGTGGAGAATATGATTGTGCACTTGATGAGCGTGTCGATTTCCATGTGTTGAAAAACTCTGTGGAATTGGATGTATGTACAATTTGGAAAGGTTGACAATAGTATCTGTGCAAAACTTTTGTGCGGAGTTAATGCAAGTGCACAATTCTATTGAGTAAATTTTGTTGTGTATTGAAAGGGTGTGGCAATCAAACATGCGTACTTTCATTGATGTGCCACTCTTTCACGTGGAAAACCGGAGGTGGACAAAGCTGCCGCGCACATTGCTGCGTATGGACTTCAAAGTGATGCTCTGCTCTCTTGTCCACCTCTTTCTCCACGGACAAAATGTGTATAGTTATGTGGATGTGGACAGTTAGGCTCTGACCCGACTTTTTTCTGCTTATAGAGATTTCTCTATTTAGCACGAAACGGCGTTACTATCTGAGCTGATAATATAGTTTCATGCTAAACAAAAAAATCTCCATAAGAACCTATGTATAAGAAGCAACTTCAATCTTATATATAAAGGAGAATCCATTTTCGAGGCGACTGATGTATTAACGCACAGCCCAAACTACAAGAGCTACGAGCATGAGCTTTCGTCTACAGCTACCTTTAGTGACGTAAGCTCCAACTAAGGGAAGGGAAATTCACCCACGAAGGGGGTGAAAAGGTGGCAAAATTTATGTGATTTGGAGAACCGCTACAGTTAGAGAGCTGAAAATGCGCGTGTAGATTCTACTTTCAAAATGAAAAGATGTGTTTTTTATTATCCCGAAAATCCACCCATGAGAGGGTAAAACCCAAAAAGTTCTAGAAATTTCCATACCTTTCTGGAGGTTCAAAATTTCTAGACAATGAGGAAATATTCTTCGAAACTAAAAACATCTATTTAGCCAATGATAGTGGAAATTTCTAGAACTTTCGGGAGAACTCGAGAATGCTCTACGATAGTTATTTGGCAAATTATTCTCATTTTTATTATTATGAGATATTTCCTTGAAATTTTCGCCGTTTCGTCGAAAGTTCTCAGGTTTTCTGAAATGTTCGGAAAAATTCGAGAAATTTCTCAAGTTGTTTCCAAAATTCGAACAACTCACATTTTTCGAGATTTCTTTTTCTCGATTTTTCGAGAAAAATCGAGAAATTTCTCGAGTCTTCTAGAAAATTCGAATAATTTCTGAAGTTTTCTAGAAAATTCGCGAAGTGTCGCCATTTTTCTGGGAAATTCGATGAACTTCTCAAGTTTCCTCGAAAATTCAAGAAAATTCTCAAGTTTTTTAAAGAGTCCAAGAAAGTTCTTAAGTTTTCAGGTGAATTCAAAAAACTTCTCAAGTTTTTTGGAAACTCGAGAAACTTCAACTTTTTCTCCATTGACTTTGACTGATCATAAATAATATTTTCTTCAATGTGATATCATTCATTCATTTAGGATTGATTAAAAACACAATAATCATCATCATAACAATCATTATAGCAATGATCATATCAATGATCATATTGATCATCATATCAATTATTCTTTATCAATTGTCAACTAGCCGATCGACGAGGCTAATCGTTTATAACTTTAAAAGGAAGTGTGAAAAAATTCTACGAAAATTCATAGATATTTCAATTGTAATTACAAACATTCTATATGAATTCCAGATGAATGTCATTATTTACCTTATTCGCACGAAACACCCTAATTCTTTGATTTTTTAAAAGTTCACTACAATGTCGACACTTGTACATGCACACACGGTCGTGAAACTTCGCATTTTCATGTCTGAGACCATTCCATATCATTTTCAAGCAAAGTTAAAAAATCGAAAAATGAAGCCATTTCAGTGCTGCCTTGTGGAAGTAAAAAACGAAAAATGGTAAAAAAACCACAAAATCGACTCATTTGGGCTTCACATTTGACGTGGGTCTGTTCACTTTAAAGATATACATATCAAATTAAAGAAAAATACACAATTGTATACAGTTTAGGTGAGACATTTTTATAACCTTGTAAAAAGCAAAAGATCGTTTCTTTATTGAAGACTAAATTGGAGACGTTCTGCTTTATTTGGGATTTATTTGGTGGGTTTCCTAAAGACTAACAGTCATATAGGCTCGAATAAAAAAAATATACAATATCTCAAGATGAAGGAAAATATAAAATTGTATGTACGAGTTTTTCGCTTTAAGTCATTTTTATAATTTCATAAAAACCAGGTCGTTTCTCCATTGATGCCCCAACTCAAGATGTTTTACTATTTTCGGGGTCGCTGTGGTGGATTTCCTAAAAGCAAAAGGCCGTATATGCTGGTAGATACGACCTGCGGGTTTTACACACGTGATGTTTTTCTGAGAAACAAATAACGATAAACGAGGGTAAATCAGTGTTTGAATGAATAAGATAAGACGGGTAGAAATTATAGAACCAATATCTGATTATACCTCAAGTATTGAAAACGTTCACGAGGCTCCAATGGATTGATAAATATTATAATTTTGAAAAAGAGACGAGTACATTTAACAGAACTGACCAATCGTTTTGAATAAATGCATTAAGTGGTTCGATCCTCCTAGTTTCAGAACTATTCGGAAAATTATCGTATAGCATTTCTGTACTTGTTCGACTATTCTACTACCATATTGTATTCCTTCCAAATGTTTCTAAGAGTTGAAACCACGAAAGGACAATATCTTTCCTTAATAAATCAAACCCAGGCCTATCTTTTGGTGACTCTGGGTTGAATCTAAGTTTGATCCATTAGGGTTTTGATCCGGGAAGTTGATAATTGAATGCAACGTAGTAAAAAGAGGATTTAACGTGTTGAGTCGATAATTCAATGGTTTTAAAGATTCTATTGGTGAACTTTATGGTTTTCTGAGACGGTTTACCTAGTATTAGAGACTTTATCGTAAATCTGTTCACAACTGTATTGTCTCATAAGCTCCCCAGATATCTTTGCGTGTTGAATAACGATGCTACGCCTCATGGGCAACTCGGAAAAGCTAACAGCGCGAGGCAAGCTTTTGCCGATTGGCTCCGGAATCTTCAAAGTAACAGAATGGCCCTCCATATCATGAAGAGCAGTGTGTGTTCTTCCAATGTTCACAATCTCGGTTGATCTCGGTGGCGCATTCGCAAACACATAACCACAAAAATCTGCGGTTTTTAGTGGAGTGTCTAATAATAAAACAATTGATTGTTTATTTCTCATCATATAAATCGTTGCAATGAATACTCCAACACTCCTTACCTCTTTTTCTCTTTCAATGCAAATAGAAGGCAAAGTTAGGAGACAAAAATCTTCTCAGCCAAATATGCACGTACAATTTCCTCGGAATGATATACAAATATTATCTCAATTTTATATGAAAAAACGTAAAATGATTAGAGACTCAACGTGAATTTAAATCTTAAAATAGAATGTAACGGGTGTTGATGATAAAAAATCAAACAATGAACACGAGAAATTCTACCAAAGGGGATCCCAATCCTTTATAAAAAAGGATGCATCAGTGATGCCAGATGGGAATTCCCACACGCTCCCCACTCCTCTCGGGTAATAGTGCGCAGCCTTTAGGGCGCAGTCGGCCCGGCGCGACGTTTGAATATTTGATTTGCGGCATGGCTCGTTATTTTATTAGCGTGTCATTTCATGCAAGTCACAAGGGCAATGAGGGCCATGAGGAGAATGTCAAATTTCTCGAGGCCCACGAGGGTCACGAAGAGAAAGTCAAGGTTCATGAGGGTCACGAAGGGCAACGAGGGTGACAAGGGCAACGAGGGCAACGAGGACCAAGAGGGCAACAAAGACCACGAGGGAAGCGAGGGGAAAGTCAGATTTCATGCGGGTCACAAGGGTCATTAGGGCCACGAGGAGAATGTTGAAATTCTCGAGGCGCACAAGGGTGATAAGGGCAACGAGGACAACAAGGACCACGAGGGCAGCGAGGAGAAGGTCAGATTTCATGTGGGTTACGAAGGGTAATGGGGGTCACGAGGAGAATGTCGAAACTCTCGGGGCCCACGAGGGCGACGAGGGTCCCGAGGGTGATAAGAGCAACGAGGGGAAATTAAGATTTTATGTGGGTCACCAGGGTAATGAGGGCCACGAGGAGAATGTGGAAATTCTCGAGGCCCATGAGGGCAAAGAGGGAATCGAGGGTCACAAGGGCAACGAGGGCCACGGGGTAAGAAGATTTCACGTAAGTCACAAGGGTAATGAGGGCCATGAAGAGAGTCTCCAAGCCCACGAGGGTCACTATCAATGAATAATTAATCGATGTAGATTAAAAATGAGACTGAAATTTTACCTTGAAAAAAAAAAAATTGGGAAAAAAAATATGAGTGGGAATCGAACGTGGATCCCCAGCGTTGTAGCTGCGGTACGTAACCACTGCACCACTGCGCTATTGTGATATTATGAGTTTTCCAAAATGGTCAACATTCAGAAACGTCACAATTTCCTATTTTGTTATGAATAAACAAAATCAATCGGATTTTAAATGGTTGATGTTTCTTAGGGAAACGCCCTGTAACTGCAATTAATATTAAATCGTTTTAGACATTCGGAGTGGCTATTTACCCCGAATTTGTTCTATTGCGATTCGTAATTGATCATGTTATTAATATACTGTTAGGGTTATTTTATTAATATAATGTTTCGTAATTGAAACTTTATGTTCAAACGGTTTAATGAACTCTCTTCTGATTCGCTATTTTTTATTTCCGAATTGGAATATCTCCCTAATTTTTGTCGAGAGAATTTCCGAAAAACAATCGATCGAGAGACTCGGGACAATTCCGCGAACTCATAAAACTCCCGCAGACCAATGAACGTCGACTTTTGTTTTGACATCGACACAATACACTCACTCCTGTGTAAGAATCAAAACAGAAGTCAACTTAATCTCGTTCAGTCAGTCACGTAAAATTGGTGGTGAAACCTTCATAAGTGATTTATTTTTGACGAGTTTATCGAGTTTTCGTGATAAAGTTAAATTACGAGTTGATATGGAGATCACAGGAGAGCGGGACCAAAGCTCAGGACATGGAGTTTCCGGTATTCCAGTATCAAAGAAGAGGAAGGTATTTCAAGAATCCTGGAAAAAAGAGCCTGAATTTTCAAATTGGTTGGAGAGTGTTGAAGGTAAGCTAAATAGTGCATTTTGTAGTGCTTGTGCGAAAGTGATTGCTGCTGGAAAATCTGAACTTCACAAACACGCGAGTAGTGATAAACATAAAGAAAATATTTTAAAATCAATTTCAATTGACCGCGAGGAAGAGAATAGTGATGAAGGTAATGTTCTTGAGAAGGATTCGAGTAGTGTTGGGCTAGATCATCAAGAATCGGTTAAAACCGCGGAAATTCTTATTGCTAATTTCATTGCTGAACACAACGTTCCAATTTCTATTGTAGATCATCTCATCCCTGTTTGCAAAAGAGCATTTCATGATAGTCAAATCGTGAAAGATAGTTCTCTCGGGCGTACAAAGTGCACAAGTATTATTGAAAATGTTTTGGCGAAGGTCGCGAGTGTCAATCTAATAGATATTTTGCGGGTCAATAAATTCTCAGTCCTGGTGGATGAAACAACGGATGTTTCCAAAACGAAAATTCTTTGTGTTCTCGCGAGATATGTTTCACCTGAAGACGGTGAAGTTAAAACCGAATTTTTAGATCTAATCAAATTGGACGCGACTGATTGCTCAGCGGAAAAAATTTATAATTCTTTTAAAAAATCGGTACAGGATAAACAAATTCCTCTTCAAAATATCGTAGGCTTGGCTTGTGACAATGCAAGCGTTATGGTTGGCATTAAGAATTCCTTCGCACAGAGATTAAAATTAGAAGTTCCCAATCTTATTTTGATGAACTGCACTTGCCATTCTTCCGCGATCGTTGCTTCTAAAGCGTGCAGTCAGTTACCCAGTGAACCGGAGGAATTGATTAAAGGTATATCGGGGTACCTCTGCAACAGTCCCAAACGTTGTGAAATATTAGCTGAGTACCAAGAGTTTTTCAATTTAGAGAAATTAAAAATTTTGAACCTGGCAAATACGCGATGGTTATGTTTGCATCAATGTGTGGTGCGAATTCTCGTTAATTGGGAACCTTTAAAATTATTCTTCTCATCAGCAATGCTGGAAGAACAGTCACCTTCAGCACAGAAGTTGTACGAATTATTAGATGACCAATGTGTCAAGGCTTATTTCCTTTTTTTAAAATATACAATGAATTCTTTCAACTCTTTTAATGCCCTTTTCCAGTCTCGTCAATTCATGCTTCATAAGTTGGCTGGAGAAAGTCAAGGGCTAATTCGTACAATGGCACGTAATTTTTTGAAGAAAAGTATAATTCAAAAACTTTTTACAACTCCCATCAATATTAGTCATCCTGATAATTTGCTGCCTGTCAATGAGATTTCTCTTGGGCCTGAATGTGATAATCTTGTTAGAACTTTTCCAGCAAATGTCGCTGAGCAATTTCGTCTCAGATGTTTACAGTTCTACATAACTGCAACTTCTGAAATGAAATCTCGTTTGCCACATGCACATCCCATAATTAAAAACTTGGAATTTTTGAATCCTGAGGTGGCTCTAGAAGACGTTGATGAGCGAATTGAATCTACAGTAATTAACGATGTAGCTCAGCATTTTGGAAATTTCGACGAAAGTTCTCTTGCTTTTGAATGGCATGCATTACCGGATGCGTTTGCTAGTCAAAGAGATAAGAAACGTGTACAATTGCTTTCCGTAGATTTGTTTTGGAGGGAAGTATCAAAATTAAAAGATTTCACAGGTTCTTTTCGATTCCCTAATTTAAGTAAACTCACAAAAACTGTGCTGTGTCTACCACATTCTAATGCTGAGGCTGAGCGTATTTTTTCTATTGTAACAGACGTGAAAACCAAAAAACGTAACAAACTCGGTAATGATTGCCTTAAGTCTATTTGTCAGATACGATCCTCCATGCAGTGTCACAATGTTGACTGTACAACTATTAAAATAACTTCCGATCATCTAGCGTTACATAACTCAAATAATTTATATCCAAAGCCGAGTCATAATTAGTATTTTGTTTATTCTATACGGGTTCGCTTCCTTCATCAACTCTTCATTTTGCCAGTATAACATCAACACTCTTCAGCCATTATAGTCAGAACAAGGATTTAATCGAAACTTGGGGGAATTTCCAGGATTCTACACAACATCAAAAACTATGCAACTAACCCTTTTTTATTTTACAGCCCTTCTTCAGCTCTCCAGAACACAAAAATGGTTCTTTTCAGAACCCAGAAATGGTTCTTTTCAGAACCCAGAAATGGTTATTTTCAGAACCCAGAAATGGTTCTTTTCAGAACCCAGAAATGGTTATTTTCAGAAACCACCGGCCCTTTTCAGGGCCACAAAATGATAAACGTGGAAAATTTAATAAAGCTAATGAATCTTGTTATATTTGCAAAATGTATTCTCTTGTACTGGAGACGATTGCACCCGCGATTTGCGGGAAATTGGATTTTCCTGTTGTTACCCTCGCAGTGTTTCACCCTTACCCTTGTGAATCTTACGGCATTTGATCCTCCCTTTCATGACTTTTAACCCTCATGACGTATTTCTGAGAATAAATTCTGAAATTTCGAATATTTCCTTTTCTATGTACAAATGATAAATATTGTGGGATTGAAAATTGAAAAAAATTATAAAATATTTAATGGAATTGCAATTTTCCGGTCGTTATAACGACAAAAATGCTTAAACACTATTAAAACTTAGGAAACTTTCTTATTAAATCTTAAAGTCCCTGAAATCTAATAAAAAATCTAATAAAAAATAAAGTAGAATTTTGAAAATGAATAGGAAAATGCAATTTCGCAATAGGATAAGCAATTTCATAGACGAATTGATCCCAAACCGATTTCAAATTCACTTTCAATATTTTTATCAAACTTTTGCTCAATTTTTAAAGAATTTTTAACAGTAAACTGAGCTCTCCATTGTTATTAAATATTATTAATAACTAAAATGTTGAAAAAAATAATAATACCATCAATTTCATTCCTTTTAATTAATTAATTGAGAGTTCCATCGCGGAATTTAATTTATCGGGTATTATTTACGGGCGTTGAGCCTGTGCGGTAGTGGCGGGGACCCGAGGAGTGCGCGAGGGAGCTGCGCACGAAATTCCCACGCGTGGGATTTTTCCCCTCATCTGGCATCACTGGGATGCATTGGAAACTGTCATGGCGAAGGACATGTAAAAAGTGTCATGGCGGTGCATGAAGGACGCATTCTCATATGAACTTTCATGAGAATGAGCAACGCGGCCGCGACGGCGCTGTTCAAGAAAGCGCGCGTAAATTACAAATCGGATTCTCTACGTGAAATGAAAAATTGTTCGAATGATGATTGATAATTGGATAACTTGAAAGCCAAGAATGGAATGAAGCAAGTGGGAAATTACGTTTATCGTCATATAGTATATGGGGTATTCCATGTGAACTCACCGAGGTCAAAACCCTCACCATCG